CAGGATGAGCTTTTTCTTCTTGGAAACACTCAATCTTTTGACTAGCTCACTTTTTAGCTTGTCGTATTTATTCATCGGTGGTGGATTGATAATTATGTCTTTAACTTCCACTGAGTACTGGTCGTGAAGTTGCCCTATAACATCATTAAATTTGTTTGCGTTGCTGGTAATTCCAGATATTGCGAACTGACCTTCTACTTGCGTAAACCATATCTTGGGCTCGTCAGGCCAAAAAGTCAGGAATTCGAACTCCAACTTTCATAATTTCATTCTCTGTTTGATTCGGACATTGCCGCCGCGTACGGCACCTTCTAATGTTCTCTCATCTTCGCCGATTCTGTTTTCCACATTGCTCATTGTGTCCAACCGAGGCCACCAATGTAGGAGCTAATGTAGATGTCACAATGGGTAGGATAACTGCTAGGAGCGCATAAAAAGTAAAGTAAAGTAAAGTTACAGGATATATATGTCCCACTACTGGGCACAAGCCTCCTATCATTTCTGAGAGGGTTTTAGGGCAAGGTAGTGTCTGCCGCGCTGCCCCAATGTGTGTTGGCAAACTACACTTATCCTCGAAATATTTTCTTTTTGTTGCTCAGACATGCAGGTTTCCTCACGATGTTTTCCTTCACCGCCAAGCACGTGGTAAATCAGCACTTAAAATTGCAATTAACAATTTCGTTGGTGCCGGCGGGAATCGAACCCGGGTTGCTTGCGTACTGTGAAATATACAGCGAGCGAGCCATCTGAGCTACCACGGCTCAGTGCGCATAGGAGTTGTATAAATAAAAGATAATTCTGTACTAACACTCACGATTTAATGTTCACACACACTTATAAAATTACACTGAAATAATAGACAGAAGGAGAATGCAACGTGAGTTTTTACAATAAGAAAGAAGTACAGAGATAGAGAGAAACTAAACACATGATAATAAATTAACAATAGATCGGCACACGTAAGTAATTTTAGATCGTGAGACAAAGCGACAATATCTCCGCGTCAAAGTACGTAAGCGACTGAGCGACTGAACTATCGGTCAAGGGGGCGGCGCTTAAATACCGCCGGCTGCAACCACTGCCGCACGATATTACCGTATAAGGTCTTGCTTCAATTACCAACATCCCCTGCGCCCTCTTTTCCCAAAAGAGGGTCGCTCACGATAACGCACAATAAAGCTTAATCAGCCGGTTGCCTGTCCCTAAAGGCGGTTTTTAGAGGGTATCACTTAGGTCCCCGGTAGGATGTGAGTCCCTCATAACCACGATAGACCGGCTATCGTGGTATGCGTAATGCATTTTCCGCCTCCCTACGTATAGGGTAGCCCTTTATTTGCTTCGGGCGCAAAAAAAAACCAACATCTATTACCAAATATGGTCTTGTTTAGATGGCGCTGCGCGGAATCGAACCTACGATTCGTCGGCCAGCAGTTAAGAAGTGTGTATAGTGTAAATGCGTGTGTGTGAGTGTAGGAATGTATGTTAGTATGAAATGTACGAAAGTCCCCTACAGTTTTTTAGTTGACCTTTGGTAGTCAATTTCGTCATGTATGTACAATTTGATATTATAAGATTAAATTATGTGATGAGATTAAATGAAGGAAAAAATATTAGTTAAGATGGCAACATTAAGTACGCCATCAGTCACGCGCAGAGTTATCTTACGCGCATTATAAACAACACGTGCACCGATCACGCCACCCAGCGTGTCACTCGATTTCCCCCACCGCCCCGCTGCTCGGCTTGGTTTGCAATGGGTATAAAGCCGGCTATACATGTTGGCCGAGCGAGCTGCGCCCTCCTTTCTGCCAAGGAGGGTCGCGTTCGTATACGGCTTAGAGATCTCTAGTCAGATCGTTAAGCCAATTCCTAAAAGGTTGAGTTTAGTGGGTAAAAGTCTCCACATAACCACGCAGCCGGCTGCGTGGTATGCTATGAGCATTCTCAACCTCCCTCCCCCTCTTTCCGGAGGGTTGCCCATATTTGCTTCGGGCGCAAAAAAAAAATTGGCCGAGCGGAGGCGAGCACCAACGTATATTCGGTTCGTCTGGCGTACTTTGCCGCCACTCGGGATTGCTTGCTACGACTTATCCACTTCGGAACAGTGTCGCTTTTTCTGCACTAATCAAAGACGCTCGCTTGCACTCGGCAAGTCGCGTCCACACGTTAGTTGCCCGTGTTAGTTACAGCTTGGCGTCCGCCCCGCTGAGATATTGATTTAATTAAGTTGCTACTTTAAAATAATTCCCACAACTTGACTATACTAACGAGGACAACTTTAAGTTTTATTTTTTTATTTTACGGCGGAGTACATTGACATGACCAACGTGTAGACTGTAGCACTCGCCTTGTATCAATTTGCCTACACTCGCGTTGGCTGAGGCTTGGCCAACATGTATTGCCGGGGTAAAACGACCGCGCAGCGGCGGAGTGGAGTGGGGCGGGCAGTCTTGGCTCTGACGTGGCTAGGCATGTCGATTCACTCTTAAAAAATCGATTCAAATCTAAGATACTAGAATAGATTATCGATTAAATCGAGGATTAAAAGATCGATTTTCGATTAATCGCGACACTTTCAAATATGATATTTCAAGAATTTGCGATTTTTTCTTTAATTGAATTTTAATATTTTTTGAAATTAAAATATTAGTAATTTTATTAATTAAAATTACTAATATTCTTTTTAACCTCTCCTGGTAAGCTTGAAACGCTTGTTTTAGGGGTGGTTCGCCACTCGATCCCTTTTTTTTACAAAGTGATTCCATGTATCACTTTTATTTGACATTTTAAGCTAAAAACAACAACAATACTTTAACAAAAGGGCAAACTGCAACGTACATTTCTCGATCAATCTGTTTCAATCTATTAACTCACTATTTATCAAATTGGAATGTACGCTACACGAACACAATACTGGTTATTTCCTTACTATAAACCTCTATAAACTTCAACATATAATATTTATTTACAGCATCTAGATATATAGAAAGTACTTCGTCTGTACTTACAGCTCACAGTATGTATGTTTTTGATAATAAAGTAAATTCGCAGTTCAAACAGGTTCACAGCTATATTATTAAATTGTAGTATGTATATGTAGTTTTGTTCACAGCACTGATTAAGTTAGACCAACATTCCACAGGTAAGAATAGAATTAGAAATGAAAATGAAATGACAACTTTTCGATATTGTTGGATGCGTTCATAAATATTTATTTTATTGAAATATACAGTATGTAACGTAATTAACGCACACCCTCAGACACCCCAATTAGTATATTATGTTATAATCATAATACATACGCTGAATTATTAGTTAAACATTTTTATGCACTGATTATTTATCAAATTAGTTATACTAATTCCGGAAGAATGTTGTGGTCACAGTACAAATCCACGAACGCAAAGACTTTAACATCCTTGAAATAAAGTTCATTATTCTTTATTTTTATTGAATGACAGAATTAGTAATAATAGAAATAAAACTGCAATCTTAAAAGTCTTATTGCCTTAAGTCACGGTCCATTTCAGTTTGTTTTGACTGCACAGATTTAGTGTGACTGTAATTTACGTAGTTTTAATTATTTTTGGGATAAAAAATTAACTATATTAAAAATGATAGGAATCGATTCAGTACACGATTCTAAACAAATTACTTTCTCAAAGTGCGTTAATTATGTTACGTGTTGTATATTGCGTTCAAATTATCAACCAAGTAAGATCGATTGTTTTTGCGTCCCCCAACAGCAAAAAATTAAAAAACTGCGGTATCTTACCCCAGCCAGTTTGAGAAATTTATCGCTGGTTCTTGAATCAGATGAATCGGTCCGATTCGAGAGGTTTTTGGATCGATTTAGTAAATCGATGCGGTGCTCTGAATCGATCTAAAAATCGATTATTTTGCTCCAAAAGAATGGATTTTTCGATACGATTTTAGATCGACATGCCTAGACGTGGCTCGGTGCACTTGTACTCAGCTACTAGCTCAATCTCGACTCTTAATTTTTGGAAACGAATTAATTATTATCCTCAGCTATTAAATTAGTCTCAGCACAATTTATAGTTGATTAGTTCTGTTGTAATCAATGTAGTCTGTATATTTCACGATTGTATGAAGTGATATATTGTAAATTAATTCTATTTATTCTATTAATTTTATTTAATGAAATGTCCCGCAGGGTTTTTTGCTGGTTCTTCCCAGGACAGAGGTTTTCTTCTAACCAGTGGTCATAGGTCATTGAATAAAAATGATTCTATTCTATTCCAAAAGCCTTTTGCATAATAACTCTACGTTATACGTTATTAGTAACTACCTTCCTACATCAGAAGTGAGATTAAAGCTTTACATATTGCAAGCCGGAGACAGAGAAACTTATAGACAAATTGACACCTTCTTTCGCATTCGCACACGAAAAAGATAGATTTATGCATACGTCGTGCATAGAAATGAGACAGAGCAGTGTGATTGTTTGTCCCTTTCTCCGTGCCGGTTTTTTTTATTTAGCAAACTACACTTTGCTAAACAACTTTGGCAGTTCGTAGCGATCTAAGGAGTTGACAAGTTGGTTCAAGTGAGACAAAAGTGGTTTGTGAGTCCAATTTTTAGTACAATTAAAATTTTTATCTAAATATGTTTAAAGTAATAAAGATTATTGTATAATCTAAAACAACGTTATCGTCCTTTCTCACACGAGGCCATGCTAATCATTAGTCTATAGGTATCTCTGTCTACGTTGCAAGCAGTTACAACCCATAGACATAAAAAATTCTAGGTTCAAAAGCAAATTACAACCCTAGCTTTTCCCATAGACGTATTAGTGTTCTGTGTATAAATTATAAATGGTTTTATCATGTTTTGTTTTGTCTATGTAGGATATTTTTTTAAATGTTTGAATCGCTTTGTGTCAGTTGGTGTCAGTTAATGAGGTATATATATGTTGTTTAGTCCGTTTAGTTTTAAAATAAATATTCGAAATCTCTTTCTCATTTCAGGATTCAGCCATGGGTAAATTTTTAATTTTCTTAGTAGTTTTTAGTTTTAATTTTTCTCATATGCTTTTAGACATACACAGTTGTCATTGTTATTTGTTTGTTAAACAGTAACAGTTTTTTTGTATTTGTTTTTTAGATAAGAGTTTTGATTTGGTTTCATTATTGAAGAATCATGAGAAGAAGCATATGCACAAACCTAGACCTACACAAATTCTGAGCATAGCTGGCGGGGTACGGTCAATGCTTTAAATAATCGTATTATAGCTTTTTAGCATTAATTTGCTAATTTAAATCATGCATGCGTTATGTTAGTAAATTCTTTTAAAAATAGAAAGGGTAATTATTATTGCCACAATTTACGTAATAATACAATCGCTATTCATGATCTTACAGGTTCAAAAGCGCTTAGAAAGGAATATTATACGTCGAAAAAGTGGTAGACTGTCTGCTTTTGACAGTATACGAAACTTGCCTAAATGTGAAGTGCCTGACCCAATATCTGAGAGTCAGAAAAAGGTGGAACACAGAAGAATGCCGTTGGAGAAATGGAAAGAAGAAAAAGAGAAAAAAAAGAAAGAAGCTGCTGCACACAAGAAGAAACCGTTTGTTGCTGGCATTGTGCACCCTCCATTAAAATATGTTCCACCACCTCCACCTAGACCAATGCCTAGTACATCAGGAAGAGTTACTAGGTCTAAGTCTATTAAAACTAATAGTCAGATTACACAAAAAGATTACAAAGGCTCAAAATCAGTCAAACATTTACATTCATTTGCACCAAGTAATGCATCATTTAAACCTCCGGAGCTAACAACCATAACAAAACTTCCTACTTTGGCACGGGTACAAAATAAGAAAAAAAAGATTGATATAACATTTGACCCAGTTGTGCCAGATGTTAGCCAAACGAAAGCTTTATTAAACTTAGAGATATCAAATGGCTCATCAACTAAATCAGCCACTACGGCTTCAAAAGTGATTGATAAATCAGTTAAAGAGGAATATCCTAAAACCTCAATTCAGAAAAAAATATTGCACAGTAGCACCTCAAATAGTGACATGGAGTCATCATCTGCTGAAATATTTTTTAAAAGTAAAAATAAAACTCCAAGAAAATCCAAACGGTCTAAATATAAAAACAACACACCCGAAAATCCTATACCAAAAAGTGAATCAAGTTCAGAGGAGAGGCTTAGGTCTCCAAAGTCTTCAAGTACTGAAGAGCAACAAACAACTCTAAAGCCTTTAACAAATACCCCCATGACTCCAGAACAAATTGCAGAAGTTAAAAAAATAAGTCCTTATGTCACACTTTCTCGAGGGAAGGATAATGCTAGAAAGGAAATGAAAAAGAAAATGGAAGAAGGTATGATTTTAATAATAGGTTATATTAAGCTATGTTTACACACACATCATTTACTAATGTATATTAATTATTGAACTTATTTACAAATTATATTTTCTTACAACCATGTTGTACAGACATATTTTAAAATATTCCCTTCATGCAGAAAGCAGTGTGAAACATTGAATGCTATTACATAAATCGTATTTGATTGTTTTTATATTTTACCAATTGTATAATAGGAAAAGGTATTTAAAATGAAAATAAACATTGCAACAGGGTCGTCTTAAGATGGGTTCCGGGTCACGCGGGTATAGTAAGCAACGAATTTGCTGACAAACTTGCACGGGAGGGCTCATAGAGTACACAATTTTGACCTGGTCCATTTTGTGAAATCCCAAGAAGCTTAGCCCGATTGACCCTTGAAACTCTTTATCATAATAAATCTCTTAAGATCTGGTCTGACACACCAGGCTTAAAACATTCTAAAACCTTAATCCATGCTTTTGATTGTAAATTTGCTTCATCAGCCCCGAAATTAAGTAAAAATAAATTGTGTATTCTGGCAAGAGCCCTAACTGGACACTGTTGTCTTAAAAAGCACATGTCCATCCTGGGATTAAGTTAACTCAAGGATGTGTCGGTTCTGTTACATAACGGAAGAAACGCCTCTGCATATCCTAACTGATTGTGGACCCTTAATGCGCAAAAGTATCACTTATCTGGGAAACTATGTATTCCACCCAGAAGAGGTGAAATTACTCATGGCTAAGCATCTCCTTCTATTCATTGAAGACATAGGGCTTAGCAGTGATACTGGTCTCCTTCCCTAGACATACATTGATACTCGCACAAAAAAAAAACATTGCTATACCCGTATCCTATATATGTATCATTCTTTTCATACTGAATTTTATTGATTCACTATAGCCTATCAAAGTCCACTGCTGAACAACAGATTGTCTCAAATGGGGAATATTTGCCGCAGTTGCCATGTTTGACAGGCGGTTTGGCAATCATAGTTTTTTATTTTCTGTTTGTTATTGGGGACACTGCTATATATCTCCTGGTTTGTTTCCCCCTGGTGCTTTTTACAACATCCATGGCACAATATGGGCTAGTGGATATTTTTACACCACCACTATATAGTTACATTTTTAATTTATTTTTGCCACACAGTTAGTATTACGTCTGCAGTTAGTAACAAAGCTATTCCTAATGGGCTCTGAATCATAAGGAGACCCTTCCTGAAAAGTCTAAATATAGGTACAGTCCGTAAGGGTAAATAATGGGATTAGAAATGGCAATTCATCGAGCTCCTATAACCAACATGCACAGTATTAATAGCGAAAACCCACTAATAACAGTATATTGTTACAATATTATTCCGTTAATGGGAAAATAATAATATTTGAAAGGATTTGTATACTTAATTAGGTATATTAATTTTAAAATAACATTTATAACTAGTGACCCACTCTGGCTTCACCTGGGTAGAATCTATTAATGTGGCATTTACAACACTTAAGATAATTATTGAATACCTACCATTTACTTTATCTTATCAATATTTGTATTTTAATAGTCTCTAAATTTTGCAAATAAAATTTAGTCCAGATCACTTCTGGTATTACTCTCTATAAGTTTGTGCAGTTTTTTTTTATTTATAATCGGTTCAGCCATTCTGAAGATTAGCTTGTACAGACCGACAAAAGAAAATTTGAAAAATGGTTACTCATGTCTCAATAGCCTGTAAATATTTTAAGCAAAAATGACAAGTTCTACTGTACAGTTATAGAAAGTACGAAAAACGCATATCGCAAAGTATTTTTATGTAGTCTTTAGTGGCAGGTTTTAGTGTAGATAGCAACAGTGTGCAAGCAAGAGGTGAATAGAGGCGACGCCAGTACTAATCCCATTCTTTAACCATCCAGGTAGTATGGTGTTACCTTTCTAAGTTAAGGGTCCCATATCATTTATTTTACTTACAAAAAGTTTTTTTTTGTCAGGTTTGTTGGACGATGATAATAGTGATATGGAGAGTGTGGATTACTTTAGACGACAACTAGATTCTGAAGTCAAGCGCATTACACAGATGTGTGAAACTTGGGACAAGATCTCTCAGCAAGAACTTTTGTCTGAGCCTGCACAGGTAAGACTGTTTTTACTGCACATTTATACCTATAAATAAAATTGACTTATTTGTCTGTAATATTTGAATAACTTATTTGCATTCTATTAAGACATGAATAATATTTTTTAAATTTTTGTCTGTCTAGACTAATCTTTGGAATAGCTGAACTGATTGTAATGAAACTTCTCAAACAGATATAGTCTCAGAATTATTTAAAAAAAAATGTAAATTCGTTAAAATGAACCGTCTTTAGTTACCCTATATCTAAATTACGCCACATTAATAGATCTTACTCAGGCAAAGGTGCGATGGTTCACCAGTGAGCAAGAAACTACTTTAAGCTTTTGCAACATTGAGAACTTGTTGGGATTTCTCAAGGAGATAGGTGGACTTGAAAGGCATCAACGCGTGCCTTCACATAACATGTGCTTAGATGTTGAGTTGAAACCAGCCAGTGCTATAATTTTACTACTCAGTATAAATAAAAATATTGGGATGTGGCTGTGTCATGCACACAGCCGTGTGTTTCATGTGAATATGTATACATAACGAAACAACCTCGGTGGCGCTCACCCTCTTCCTTTGCCTCTTGCTGATCCTTTAGCTATTGAGTGGCGTAGTGAACTATAACACCAAGCTGTATCTTCCGATTTCTTTATCATCGGTTATCGTAATTGCCTCCCATTTTACAAGCTAATTTAACATCAAAATCAATATTTCAACAGATAATTATAAGAAGCACAGCACCACTATGGTAATATGAGCATGTAGTAAAGATTGTTGTTTTTTGCTTTAGGATAAGGTTGACAAACTAGCACTCAGTGTCCACCTGATGGTAAGTGGATAAGAATATACATTGCATATACATTGTCGTCCCTGAGGTTATGATGGAATGCCTAGTTTCCAGTAAAAATGGTCATTGGTTCCTTACACTCACCATACAAAACACAGTAGCATTGAGCTGGTATTCTGTGAGAGGGTGATCTCACCCGGTTCGAGCTGGCCCATTTGTGCTACAAACATAAAATAACTGCAGCGTCGCTCTATCTCGTATACAAATGGTTTGCTTGTAGGAGATGGTGCTGGGCGCTGTGGGGCAGGCGCGGCTGCTGGTGTCGCAGAAGTTAACGCAGTTCGGGTCGCTGGTGGCGGCCTGCGAGTGCCCCGATCCCACCACTGGACTCGTCACGCCCACCGACCTCCATGGCTTTTGGGACATGGTCTTCATGCAGGTGAGCAAGTGATCACTCATTTCATGCTCCATTCTTCCTTTTAGCTTTTTGTTTATTTTAGAGTTTTATAACTTCTAAATAAGTAAAGCAAGTGATTATAACAATGTTTTATCTAAAAAACCGGCTCATGGTCTTCATGCAGGTGAGCAAGTGACCTCTCATTTCATGCCCTTTTCTTCTTTTTTGGTTTTCGTCTATGACAAAGTTATATTTAGTTATGAAATAAGAAGTAAGTAAATATTATAATTTTTATCTGTAAGTCTGTTGTAAAGAATGTTGACTTTGACAACTTCAGATTGATGATATCGAAAGTTTTTAACTATACAGGAGATATGGTAAATTATTAGTAATATCATTAATGTAAATAAGACTATTATCATATTTTTGTAATATTTGTATCGTCAACCTTACATTATATCTAAATGTCTACTACAGTCCATGCAGTATGATTCACAGCCAGTAATTATACTGATTGACTGCCTTATTTGAATCTTTGGGCGAACAAAATATTATTGGGTTTTTCTGTCAAGAAGTTCTCAGAAGCAGCCCAGAGTCGGTTATTTGGTTTCATTCACATTCACAGAGGTTTTATCCCAGTGCCTCAGAAAGTATGTAAAGCCGTTGGTTCTGCACTGGAGCTACGAGGGTGGATTGAAAAGTACTCGGCCTAACACAGATCCATTCAATTCTAAAAATCAAATCTAACCACATTATTTAGTTCAGTTCAGACTAGTTCATTGTGTGAAGTTCGAAACGTGTGCGATAATTAGTTGTGATTTTATAAATTTATTAACAAAGTAATCGGACATAATTTCCGCGAATGGAGCAAATCGAGCAGCGTGCCGTCATTAAGTACCTCCATAAGAAGGGGCTATCATCAAAAGCCATCCATTATGACATGGTCAGTACATTAGGCAATTGTGCTCTGTCATATTCATCCATCAAAAAATGGATAGCAGAATTTAAGCGTGGTAGAGAGAGTGTGAAAGATGAACCCCGCTCTGAAGGCCTTCGACGTCAACTACTGACGAAAATATTAAAAAAAGTACTTGATTTAATAATGGGAGACCGCAGATTAAAAATTAGAGAGATAGCCGAGATTATAGGCATCTCTTATGAACGAACTCAAAACATCATTGTCAACGAGTTGGGTTTCCACAAGGTGTCTGCGTGGTGGGTTCCGCGACTGCTTTCAGTTGAACAAAAAAGGACGCGATTGACTATTTCACGCGACTGTTTGGAGTTATTTGAAGCCGATGCAGATGATTTTTTGAATCGTTTTGTTACTATGGACGAAAATGGGTTCATTACTGTACACCGGAAACAAAACAACAGTCAAAACAGTGGAGAAGACCTGGTTCACCACCCCTAAAAAGGCTAAGTCGATTTTGTCGGCAAATAAGGTGATGGCTTCAGTATTCTGGGACTCGAAAGGTGTGATTATGATTGATTATCTTGAAAGGGGTCAGACTATAAACTCTGATTACTACTGCACCTTACTACGTCGTTTACGAGAGAAGAAAGAAAGAGAGAAAAACGTCGAGGAATGCTCAGAAGAAAAGTCCTGTTTCATCAAGATAACGCCCGTGTTCACACGTCAGTACAGTCAATGGCTGAAATTCACAACTGTGGCTTTGAACTGTTACCGCATCCGCCGTATTCACCTGATCTGGCACCATCAGACTTCTTTCTGTTCCCTAACCTAAAAAAGCACTTGGGAGGTCAAAGATTTTCGACAAACGACGAGGTCAAAGCAGCTGTAGACGCATATTTTGACTCTAAGGAAGAATCATTTTTTTTTCAACGGTCTAAATGCTTGGAAGGGGAGGTGGCAAAAGTGTATTGAACTTGATGGTGATTATGTAGAAAAATAAAAATATAACTGATTTAGTATGTGTTTATTTTCTTGGTTAGGCCGAGTACTTTTCAAGCCACCCTCGTATCCCCAGTCGGATCAGTTTGCCGTCCAGGTTGCAGTAGAGTATAGAGAATGCACCTGTGCTTGCTCACATACTTGTGCACTTTAATCCTGGTTTACTCACCCTTGAAACCAGCAACTCAGCTCCAGACTATGTGGAAATTATGTCATCTCTTTATTTTTTAAAGTCAGTTTCTGATTTTTATTAATAGTAAAATTTTGACCCTTTTTAGTGGAATATCTTGTGATATGTGTATGTGGATATTACACTCCCACCAAACAGCATAATAATATCCACTACCCCATATCACTTGAAGTCATTCCTTAATTGAAGTTCGTTAAAAAGAGGCTTTATTTCGCATGCCAGGCACCGTTAGTTACCATTAAATCTAGAGTGTACAACAATCAAAGCCCAAGTACAATATCCATCCGTGTCTAGACGCAGCAACAACCTTGTGGTCCTAGTTGTTTCTTACCTTTGGCTATAGCAATGTAACGAAAATATTATTTAGCTATAATTGTACATGATAAAATAGGAGCTCTCACTCCTCATCCTATAAAAACTTAAAACATATTAATGGAATAAATTTGGAATTGGGTTAAGATGCAGTTTCAGAGACAAGTTTTTTTACATGTTAGAGACACACTACATCCATATTATAGTTGTAACACGAATGGGTCGGCTCGACTGGCGCAGGACCACGCTCTCACAGAATACCAGCGTAAAATAGCAGCGTAATGCGGCTGTGTTTCGTATGGTGAGTGTAGAAAACATCATAGTCCGCAGAGGTGACAACACTTGCATTTTGATCCTTAGTTGAAGATGTCTGTGGGCCACTTACCATCAACTGGACTGTCGTTTGTCACACAGCGCTATAAAAATAATACCAAAGTTAGAGCACAATAACAATCAAAAATTAACAATTTTTGTTTTTGCGGAAAATTTCGGCACCATTTGTGATTTAATAAATCATATTTCTCCTGTTAAAGGTTGAAAATGTGGACATGCGCTTCAAAAAACTCGAAGAACTCCGCGCTCGCAATTGGGTTGAGGAAACCCCAGTGATACAAAAGAAAAGGGCCCCCAAAACAGCTAAAAACAACAGCAAGCCCGTACGGTACTAGTCGCCTTCGTGATCTTATAGCTGGTGAGTCATTTAAAATTTACCTATTACAAAATAATACAAAGAACGGACACAATCTCTTTATACATTCATGTAGCGATATAATTTGTTGAATGTGTAGCAGCACGCACATGCATACAGAAAGAAATAAACAAAATTTGGTTATAATTACACAAATTATTATTTATATTCAACTACATATTATGTCCAGTATTCTGATAAATACATCTTGTATGGAATAAGAATTTATTTATATACATATATTACATATAATTACATAAACAAACAATCACGCCTGTCACCCAGAGGGGTAGGCAGAGACTACAGACTTCCATTTGGCATGATCCTGACACACCTCTCGCGCCCTCCACATCCATATACCTACGCGAACATGCTCGTCAGTTAAGGGTAGTCTTAATTTGGCCCATTTTCAATATATCGCCAATTTGGTCGATAAACTTTCGCCTAGGACGTTCCTTTCCGACCACAGAAATCTAATTAATAAGGCAATAGAAATGCCTTCTGCTGTCTTTTAATTTTAATATCAGGACGCGTGTCGCCGGTTCGCAGCTCTCACACATAGACAGACAATAAATACACCAATGCGCCTACACATGTCTCTAGCATTCATGCAACAAAGATTGAACTATAAACTATTTGTTAAGGAATATTTTATAAAAACGCAAAATCTCAGGAGGCGTAGCCACTCGGTCCAATAATTAACGTGTGCAAAAAACAGAGAATGACATTGCGCGCTCACTCTCACTTGGACATAGTGCAGCGCAACGCACGTTTCGATGACTTTCTATTAAGCGTCGTTGATCGTCCAAGAGTTTCACACCAAGATATAACTAATTAACTGAAAATGTCTCAGTAATAGACGCTTTTAGTCTTAGCTTTAATTTTTAGGCGCTTTATAATTAGAGAAAAGGGGATATAATGAAACGTTAAGGATAAGTATATCCATTTATCTTTAATATCCGGATCTTTTGGATACCAGGAATAATAGCATTTTATTAAATAAACAGATGTATAAATAAAATGAATACAACATTATACAAACAGCAAATAAATAAATTATATATGTATGGGTGACATTTATCATTTTTTAATAGTTTTAAAGATCTGTAACTGACTTTCTGTTGTTTGATATTTTTCAGTTACCCGGCTTCTTACAGATCGAATTTAGTCTACTATCCTTACAATATAATTACTTATCCTTATAATATATTAAAATTGCATAAAAATTTATCAACTATATTTACCAAGTACGAACAAACAGATAATCGCTGATAAACGGCTAACGGTATAAAATATTTAGAAAGAAAAAAAAAATATAGAAAAGGTGTAAATAAATATTTAACGAAAAATCACATTTCATTCCCATTTCGATAAAACTAGGTAAGCCAAACGTAATAAATTGTCGATATAAAATAGTAGTGTCACGTATCTGACTCGCGTTCGACTCCTGCGGCCGTGTTCTAGGAAATTTACGTACGCAACAATTTTGTTTATTGCCCATACTATAAATCCATCGCTGCTTTTAGCTGTCGTACTCGTAGATATGAACTAGCTTAAGAATCAATGGATTTTGAAATGTGAAAACAATTACATTTTCGGAGACAATCGTAGTACTGGAGGTGAATAATTTTATTTAAGTATATTTCATTAAAAACAACATTATTTAAAACACTAAGTACTTATTTATGAAATGTTATCAATTTATTAGAAAATTTGCGAGTTATGGAAGAATTTCCGCAGTTGTATATGCTTCAAAACATCACTTTTACGTCTCTGCGTAAGAGACGAAACTAGTGACCGACACAAACGATCTTCTCGCGCTTGTGGTCAACGAGTCACATGTGCGGTGACAAGGTCACGCGGTTTTACGACTTCTATTACCTTATTATTTAGATTTCTGTGTTCACTTCTGCAACATAAATTTGCATTGTCACTCTTTCCTCATTAATTCTTTCTATATGACCAAACCACCGAAGCATTCCTTTCTTAATCCTGGTCGTAACATCATCTTGTAAACCACACTGTCACTCAGAGACACAGAAAGCTGTAAGCCTTACTTTAAAAAGTATAACATTTTAAGCCTGCCCTGTATCTATATAATTTGGAACTATGCAAATTTGTCCAAAAAAAAAATCCAAGTTTCTACACAAAACGAGATGACATCATATCTAGGAATCTAAGATAGAGAAACAAGCTAGTGCTACCAACTTCAAAACTATAATTTCATTCATCCAAATAAATTACAATAAAAAATTCTAATAAAATTTAAAATGATTCGAATAATTTAATAAAAATTCAACTGTGCTAATTATACTACCCATAATAATAAATTAAATAAAATCAATAATAAAAATAAATGTTCGTCCATCCCATCCCATCAGGGTCTATGGAGATACCATAAAACTATGTGACCTTTTGTAACCTATGGAATGCAATAAAGTTATTGAGTATTGAGCAGATTTAGCCCTAACATACTCATTAACAACTGCATTTCTACTGTGTTTATTCTACTTTCTTTTTACATCTACACACCCAACTTTCACTATCATACATTAAAGTAGGGACTAACATAGCATTGTGAATTGTCATACGTGCCTTTTTGATACATTCTGACTTTCCATAATAGAGTGTAGAGCCCCATTTACTTTATTTCTTACTTTCTCTCGTCATTCTATATATAATTAACATATAAAAATAATTATAAATATATGTAGGCTCGATTTCCTTATACATAAATGCTTGCACTGCTGTGTTTTAGTCTCAAGCATAAACAGAATAAATACAAGGAAGGGAAAATATAATAATCTTGTTCCTAAGCCCTCAGATCCAGTGATGACTTATGGGTCAGAGATGTGATCCTTTACTGCTGACCATATGATTACATTTAAGGTCGGTTAATGAGCTATGAATGCGCGGGCTTTCTCTGCGTGATAAACTTAGAAATGTGGATATCTGCAGTAGAACCAGACATAGCCCAATGAATTAGTAAGCTGAAATGGTAATGGGTCGGCCATATAGTTCGAAGAACCGACAACCGATGTGGAAAAAAGGTTCTCGAGTGGCAGCATCGTACCGGTAGGCGAAGTGTAGGGCGATCCCCACTAGATGGAGTAACGACAGTCGTGCAGGAAGTCGATGGATGCAGGTGGCCCAGAGCCATGCTTTGTGAAGCGCTGTAATGATGATGAAATTAGTCCACAATTATTGACAAAACATCTGTGCAGTAGTAACCACTTACCATAGAATTGTAGCTAGTGATGTTTTATCTTACGCTATTGCATTTAATGGCAATGTAGATTTTTTCTAAAAAAGATGTAATATAATTATTGAATATTTTAAAAATGAATGCATTTGATTTTAAACCATATTAAAAACAAACAATTTTATCTATTTACAAATTCAATGCATCAGGTTAATATGCCTTAATATGATGGTGGCATAAGGTCATATTTTATTGTGAGAGTTGATTAAGTGATACACTGCAGTTAAGTTGCAGCTATACTATGGTTGTAGCATGAATGTGTCTGACAAACCGGGGAGGACCAAGCCCTCTCAGACTGCCAGCGTAAAATAGGAGCTTAATACTATTGTGTTTCTTATGGTAAGTGAAACGGAGACCCTTATTACTTGAATTGAGGCATTCCATCTTAGTCCTCAAGGATGAGAATGCAGCATTTTGATTATTAATTAATTAAAGATTTTTGGAAGTGTCTATGAGCCACATCATATTACCATAAGTTGGAATATGTGCTTTTTTTTCACCTTTATTCTTATTTTTTTTTATAATTATATACCAAAGATGGTCGTTAAAGGGGGTTAAGTGGGGTAATTATGAAATAATAATGTCAAATTAATTAAATGTGTTTTTATGTCCAGCGGCAAGAAAAGCAAAGAAAAATGAAGACCCTCCAACAGTACTAAGAGAAGAAGATCGAACAAACTCTGGGACAAACATAAAAACATTCGACGCGGGTTTCTTCTGCGTGCGGTCACCGGTCAAATCACCACTTGCTCCCAGTACACCTTCCAACAAATCCAGTTTGTTAAAGGCTGTGCTTTCTAGTGAAGCGAAAAAGGCTTCAGTTTCTAAGGTAAATGCCCATTGCTGTTGCTCATTGAAATTTACCATCGGGACAACTGTTTTAGTGTCACATTAATTACCAGTTCATATATTTTTAAAATTAGATCAGGAAAATTTTCAATGAGCCTTCTCACAAACTACCTGTAAAATTACTATATAATTACTTGATAATTATCAAGAAATGGAATAGCAGATGAAATGCTAGACTCCTGGAACTGTGATAGCCTATTCGTCAAGTGGTGATTGTGTAAAATTATTCTAATTTGGGGGAGGTATACAATATGTAACGTAATTAACGCACACCCTTAGACACCCCAATTAGTATATTATGTTATAATCATAATACATACACTGAATTTTTAGTTAAACATTTTTATGCATGATTATTTATCAAATTAGTTATACTAATTTCGGAAGAATGTTGTGGTCACAGTACAAATTCACGAACGCAAAGACTTTAACGTGCTTGAAATAAAGTTCATTTTTCTTTATTTTTATTGAATGACGGAATTAGTAATAATACAAATAAAACTGCACTCTTAAAAGTCTCATTGCCTTAAGTTACGGTCCATTTCAGTTTGTTTTTACTGTACAGATATAGTGTGACTGTAATTTACGTAGTTTTAATTATTTTTGGGATAAAAAAATTACCTATATTAAAAATGATACGATTCCTATCATTCAGTAAACGATTCTGAACAAATTACTTTCTCAAAGTGTGTTAATTATGTTACATGTTGTATATAATAACTGCTAAGAGATAGACTCAGACGAGCGACAAATGGACAAATGGCGGTATATTGTATATCACAGGACTGGTAATCGGAAGTATTTCTGCAATATCGGCTCTTTGGCGCAGCGATAAGTTAAGCGCTAAGGGCTGCCAGTTTGAATCCCGTATGGAACAAATATGTGCAAGCTCTCCAAATAATTTTTCGAGGTCTGAATATATGTCCTTGTGCAATTTATGCATGTAAACTTCCTCCACAATACAGGAGAAAATCCTCTTTTGGGGGTGACATTTAAAAACAAACATAATATAGGCATATCCTTGAATTACCTGTATCCACCAGTGAAATAGTTTTTATATTATTTTTAAAAAAAATTGCTAGTAATACTATTAACATTACTAATATCTTCGTTATCCTGTCCAAATATGTGTTTCAAAATGCTTTTGGCACAATGGCGTTTTCAGTTGTAGCCCGGAATTCACAACTATTTAAGTTTGCATTCTGTACCTTGAACCATTAGGCTAATGTCACTTAAGTATGTTCCATTAATATAGTAGTAAGAAGATATCATACATGGTAGAGCCATGCTGCAGCTATATTATAGTTGTAGCACGAATGGGTGGGCTCGACCGGGGAAGGACCACACTCTCACAGAATACCAGCGTAAAATAGCAGCTTAATACTTCTGTGTTTCGTATGGTGAGTGTAGAGAACTGGAGATGCGTTTTACCGGAATTGAGGCATTCCATCTTAGTCCTCAGGGGTGACAACGCATCTGCGTTTTGATTCTTAATCGGGAAAAAAGCTAGATGTCTATGGGCCACAGCATCCACTTACCATAGTGGACTTTGTGCTCGTTTGTCACCATTATTCTATTAAAAGAAAAAAAGATCCACTACCGCACCTCACTTTATTAATCTCATCATATGACTTTCTTAAGTTTTTCACATTGGTACCTATCTTAATAGATGCATAGGTAAATGGCCAAAACACTTTATGACCTCTAATAGGTAGTGGTTTTGCCATCTTGTATATCTCAAATATAAAATACCAGAACTGATGGAGGGATATCTCGTACTGAATCATGCTATTGCCAATCCCAAGTGAATGGGGCAATTACAGTTTTTTTTATTATAGAATAAGCGTGACAAAAGAGCGTGCAGTCCACTTGATGGTAAGTGGATGCTGTGCCCCATAGACATCTACAGTTATCCTCGATTAAGAATCAAAATGCATGCAGATGCATTGCCAGCCCTGAGGACTGAGATGGAATGCCTCGTTTTGCAGTAAAAAATGTCTCTGGATCTCTACACTCACCATACGAAACACAGTAGCATTAAGTTGCTATTTTACGCTGGTTTTCTGTGAGAGCGTGGTCCTTCCCCGGTCGAGCCAACCCATTCGTGCTGCAACCACAATATAACTGCAGCGCGGCTCTACCACGTAAAAGGTTCTATAAAGGGGATCCATGTTCAGCAGAGGACTGTTGTCATCCTTTTTAAAACGCTTTTATCAACATAGCTTATGAATGTAATGGAATTCTATAATAATTGCATTATAATGGCTTTTTGTATTCTACTACCTGAAAAATTTATTAATGATGTGTGTTAGGTTGTAGGGAATAAAAGTCTTCAGTCTTTAAAAAATTACTTTTAATTATTTTCGACAAAAGTTTTCCATTATATTATTTTAGTCTTAAATATCCTTCGTTGCTCCTCTCCCAAAGTGAATAGATTTTCCTCTTTTCACATCACACCTCCTACTTTCCACTCGTTTCCAGTGACAAGGGTCTTGGTTTTTTCCTTGATTAATTGAATTAATTAATAATGATTTATTAATTTAATATTAATAATATATTAGATAAATTAATATTTTGATGAAATAATTATTTCACAGGATTCTACATCGTTAGCGATGCTGCGGGCATCAATCATTGGCAGAAGTGTGGAGAGTAACGACATAGCATTGCAGGTATGTAAATTATACAATATCTAACAAAAACCCTGATTTTCTCTTCAATCGGAATCAGTACTCAAAAATATAGAATTAACTTTATTTCCGAAAACTTAACTATAAAAATAAAATTTACTTTAAACACATTCTTATTAGCAAATTGTAAGTGGGTTTATTACCTCTGCATTGGCCAGGGACTAAGAATATTGTCAAAGACCCCACTTTACCAATATGCATGTCAACTAGTTTAGATGTTAATAGCATTCACAAGGTTGAATTTAGAAGTTGCCGTTCAGACGGCGCACTATTTTGACCGGGCTGGAGTTGGCTTTTACGCATGTAAAGACGTTAGTCGATGAAGATGTGCCCCTTTATATTCGCTCCTAACATCGCAAGCAGTTTGTTTCGTTTGTATCGATTTTTGAAAATGATTATTATAATGAAAATATCTTTATGTATTTCAATAAAACAATAGCATATCTAAATCTATTAAAGAATTACGATAAACATTTTGAATATATAATAAATACACGATATTTGCAATGATATCAAATTTTTTCAGTAACCCCAAAATAATATATATATACAATAGTGTAAAATCTACTTCATTTAACCCTTCAATCACCATAAAAATCCCACGCAGTCACCCACATCACTTAAAACCATAATAATATAATAATAAACACTAACGCCTGTCACCCAGAGGGGTAGGCAGAGACTACAGACTTCCATTTGGCACGATCCTGACACACCTCTCTCGCCTTGTTAAGTTAACTCGCCCGGTTAAGGGTACTCCTACTTTGGCCCGTTTTCAATAAATCGCCAATTTGGTCGATAAATTTTCGCCTAGGACGTCCCTTTCCGACTCTGCCATTCACTTCTGCAACATAAATTTTCTTTGTCACACTTTCCTCATTCATTCTTTCCACATGACCAAACCACCGAAGCATTCCTTTCTTAATCCTGGTCACAACATCATCTTGCAAACCACACTCTTGTCTTATCACACAATTTCTTACCCTGTCATTCAGATTCAGCCCTAACATACTCCTTAACGACCGCATTTCTACTGCGTTCATTCTACTCTCGTGCTTCTTCTGCCACACCCAACCTTCACTACCATACGTTAATGTAGGGACCAACACAGCATTGTGAATTGCCATACGTGCCTTTTTCGACACATTTTGACTTTTCACAATAGAGTGCAGGGCCCCATTTACTCTATTTCCCGCATTCACTCGTCGTTCTATATCCTTATCATATCTCCCATCGCTGCTAAATACGCAGCCCAAATATACAAACTCATCTACTTTCTCGATCAACTCCCCTTCTAGTCTTATTTTACAAATCGATTTACTTTCTTCTCTTTCAAAACCTTCGTCTTACTTGCGTTTACTTTCATACCCCTTTCTTTTAATGATCTGTTCATTAATGTAACCATCATTTGCAAATCGGCCGCCGACGACGCAAGAATAACTTGATCATCGGCGTACAAAAGGCATTTGACGGTTAACTAACCCATTCTTAATCCGCATTCTTCAACTTTCAAATTTTGCAAACAACTGTCCATAAATAGGTTGAACAGCCATGGGGAAGCCACACAGCCCTGTCTGACACCTTTATAGATGTCAAACCAGTCCGAGTAGACCCCGTTGATCCTAACACAAGCACTAGAGTCCCTATAAAGAGACTCCAATGCCTGTATCAAGCCAGCGCTCAACCCAAATGAGTTCAGTGTTTGCCATAGCACATCCCTGTCCACTCTGTCATAGGCCCTTTCCAAGTCCATGAACGCACAAAAAACCTTTTGGTTTTTGGCCAAAAACTTCTCCGCGATCATGCGCATGGAAAAGACTTGATCTGTACATCCCATTCCCTTTCTAAATCCCGCTTGCACATCCCAAATTTTTCCATCAGTTTCTTTCATGACCCTTTCAATCAGTACCTTAGCATACAATTTTCCCACAATGCTAAGAAGGCTGATGCCACGGTAGTTTTTACAGTCCTGCTGCGACCCTTTTCCTTTATATACTGGGACTATCACGGCTTTGCACCAGTCTACCGGTACCCGCTTCAGTTCCCAGCATAAATTAAACAAGGTGATGACAGCAGGCCTGTTACCACTTCCTCTCCAGCCCTTAGCATTTCGAGAGAAACTCTATCATATCCGGCAGCCTTACCTGCTTTCATGCTTTTCATTGCTTTCATTATTTCATCTATACTTATCTCGCTACCTCTTTCCTCTTCTTTCGGAGTTTCTATTTCACTTAGTACACACGTTGTCTCCTCACTCATAAACACGCTTTCAAAATATTCCTTCTATCTCTTTAAACTCAAAACTTCATCATTCAGAATATAGCTATTCTCGTCTCTTATAGCATTCATCATAGGCTGTTTTGAATGTCCCCTGGCAGTTCTTACAAGTTTCCAGAACATTTTAATATTTGCCTGGAAGTTATCCGATATTCTTCTATCATTCTTATCCGTTCTTTCTTGCTTTTTTCTTTCAACTACTTCTTTTACTCTCTTATTAAGATGTCTAAAGACTACCTTTTTTCTTTCGATATCATCATTCGTACCGCTAGAATTACCAGCCTTTGTTGCTAGTAAATCTAGCCATGCTCTCTTCTTTGCTTCAACTTCCATACGTATCTCATCATCCCACCGTAACGTATTATTTTTCCTTTCATTATTTCTCTTACTAACACCACTTACCTCGGTAGCTGCATCCACTAAACCTTTCTTTACATTTTGCCAAACATTCTCCAAGTGTAACTCCTTCATACATAATTCATCCAAACCACTTATATTTTCTTTAAGTCTACATTTGAACTTGTTTTTCTCACCTTCATCTTGTAACCTTTCTGTTCTAATACGCTGTAACGCAGTGGTAGACACAGATGATCGATGGCGCCAACGCCTGAACAGACCATTAATTCGGCATAAAACCAAATAATGATCCGTTCCTACGTTAGAACCCCGGTAAACCATGGTTTAAAAGACATTCTATATGCTAACTTTCTTCATAGAAAACTAGTCTCTATATATAAGTTTTTATAGGTTAGTGCTGTGGGAGGGTGCGGTCATATTTGACCGCTTGAATTTTGACGGAATATCGAAGCGGTCAAATTTGGCCGCTTGGTTTTTGTGAGGTTAAAAGTCCCCGTAGACTACAGACTTTCTATCGGCTGATAGTTTGGTCTGCTTCTTAATCAGTATGAAGCGGTATGCAAATGCCCAGATTACAGCGATTCCGTGGCGGCCGATAAAAAGGTTTGATGAGCTTCACAATTGTCTTCAAACTAAACTGTCGGCGAACTATCGGCCGACTGCTTGAACAGTACGGCGCTCTTCCCCGCCCGCTCACTTGCCGATTATTTCATCGGCCGACTCGTACGATAGCTTCAGTTCGCTCCGCGTTGGATGCGGAAAAGGTCATGTGCGTGGGTGAGCGTGCGCAATGGATTTGAATTCGTCGCTGCTTGTCGAAACGTACATTGAAAACCTAATTCAGGGAATTGAAAAAGACCAGCGACCTATAAAAAGAACTTATAAGAGTACTCTGATTCTTTTTCTTTGTTTTCTTAGTTTTTTTTTTTTTCAAGTAAGCAATAATAATATTTCTGGGCACCATTCCACGTCTCATCACAAACTCCACCGAATGTATCAATCCGACTATTGTTGGTTGGCTAGTCTGCGCACCCATTGGTTTTGTTGGCCCAGTGTGCGCACTAGCAGCCCAATCCGATCAAACTATCGGCCGATAGAAAGTCTGTAGTTAAAGTCAAGTCATTTATCGAACAAAAATTGATTGACTTTCAAGATGGTACTGTTACGAGCTTAGGGTTCGTGACAATAAAAACTGCCGATTGAATTACCAAAATTGACACTTTTATTACTGAACGCCAATTAAAACGTAAAAGACACCAATAATTAATCGCACTGTCACTTTAGTTCACTTTATTTCGCTCCGAAGCTTCGCTCGCATCGCCAATGCAATACTGCCCCGATCACGGCTTTCAACGGCTTTAAATAGGCCTTAAATAGGCCTTTTCCACCTAAACATCCAGAATATTCCAGCAAATACCGGCCCACGACCGACCAGGTGCAGAAAGTTCGAGGTGGCGTTTTTCAGAAGGCTTAGTTCTTCTACTCGATACTAGATGGCGCTGAAGGTGGAAAGTTCCAGCATGGCATTTTATGGAAAGCTTTCCTCGCTCTGTTCCCCGACACTAGATGGCGCTAGTGCCAGGTACCACACATCAACTTAGGCGCGCAACAGTACGTAAAATACTACTAATTTAATATAAATCGGTAAGTTATAAAATCGTGGATTGTTATGAATGGATTGATTAAGATCATTTTATTTAATATTGTTAATTTTAATCATCCATCCATGCGGTGCTTTACCGCACAAAGCGGTGATCGAGATAAAAGGAAGCTATATAATGTATTATAATTTCTATCTCATTCTCTCGCAGGTTAAATCCCTTAAATATATTTATATATTTGTTTCTTATTAGTGCCGCTTTCTCTTTTAATCGAGTTTCAAATCACAACTTGTCTAAAAAGTTTTCGCTTCAGTAAGTAAAATCGAATCTTAATCGATAATAACGATAATCGATTCTACGTAACATTTTTTAATCTGAGGTAATTGTAACCGCGCAATATACGTGTTCACATCTCTAGTTTTAGCTAGACTCTTGTTACCATTTTGTTCCTAAAAACTATGTCTGCGCAGCCTCATGCGACTAACTTCAGCCCGGCCAAGTTAGAATGCGCGAGCTTTACATATTATGAACAATAAAATTTCATGTCTATATGTACATCTATACGTCCCTAAAAGGACCACCGGGTTGTTTGTTACATAATAATAATAATGTCCTCCAGACCGAATTTCGGCCACGGCGGTCTGCCTCAACGGAGACTAGCCAACGGCGCAGGACAGGATTATAGTGCCCAAGTGTATGTATGCGCAAGCACAGGTGCACTCTCTATTCCCTCACTCTCGCTCACGGGAGTGAGACACCGCCAACTTCCTGACTCCGGGCAGCTACTGAGAATTTCTTGACAGAAAAACTCGATAATTGATTTTTGGCCCGACCCGGGATTCGAACCCAGGACCTCATGATCAGCAGTCGCACTACTACAACGCTAGACCAACGAGGCAGTCATGTTTGTTACATATTGTATTTAGAAAGGCAGATATTTCAAGCACTGCTCCTGCTATATTTTATTAAATCAATGATGCAGGTGTATAAATATAAATATTGAAATCTAAGCAATTTCACTGTCATTTTACTTGTCCTTGACACTAATAACAGGTTTGGTATTCAGGCTGCAACCTGTTACGGCTGCAGCATTAATGGGTCGATTTGATGGGTTTTGAACCAGCTGTCACTATATAGTGGGATCACTTTTATTATAGTTTTTTAATTAATTGTTTATATCCCTCTGCAGCAGTCCAAAGTGCCAGTAATTCCAATAAACCTCATGGCGACACCAGGCAGAAGCATTCTTAAGTCTACAAATGTAGCATCAACTGAGAGGAAATCGGGCAAGAAATCCATAAAAATAGTACTGTTTAACAATTCAGATGGTGGAAACAGTTTTTCACAAAGCCCAGAGGCTATCGAGAAAATTGCAGAGGGCAATATAGACAGTGGCCTGTCCTTAATAGATGTAGAGAAGGAATCCGAACAGAATAAAGAAAATGTGAAGCAAAAGTCAAAGCTGGTGAGGCAGAATGCGTTTGAAGATAGAAGTCCAGTTTTAACAAGAAGCAGACGCAAGAGCATGAATACACCACTGGTTGACATGTCCTTTGAAAATTTAGAAGACAGAAAAAGGTCAACAAGAACGGAAGTGGCAAAGGAAAATGAAGCAGAAGAGAAGATAAATCAAACACCCAAGCGTTCAACTAGAAGAAGGAAGAGCTCCGTTGCAAGTAAAATGGTTTGACACAGACGCTTATTCATCAAAGTGCAAATCTCTTATCACCAAAGTGCCATTTTGTGTTTTAGAAAGCACATTTATCAGGATTTATTTAAGTCTTTTGTAATCAAAGAACTTTGATATAGATGGGTTGACCAATGGCTTGTTTATATTGTGGTTTGCCTTAAATTGAAGTTTAGTTTCTTCGCAGCAAAGCGGTAAGTAGTTGGCACTCATGACAATTAAATAGAAATTTTATGTAGATACCAGTAAATGACTTCATAGTTTCTAGTAGTCAATAGACGTCTTATATATTTAAAAAAAAATCTAATTTAATTTAAAAAGAAAACCGACCAGTTTTAAGGCAATATAGGTATTAAATCAAATTTAAAATCAGGTAATAATTTATTTATGATGGTCTCGACTACTGAATTTAAAATGATAAAAGGTCGGGATGTGGCTTTGTCGTGGACGCGACCGTGTGTGTTACCTGAATACGTGTACGTAACGAAACGATCACAAGATGGCGGCGCTCCCTTACCGTCGCGTGATACGGTCCCCACGTGACGTCAATCATTCTTTGATGCTTTAGCTATCGAGTGGCGTAATTAAATTTTGAATGTAGATGACAGATATGTATTTCGCTACAACAACAAACTGTATCGCCCAATTTTGTTATCATCAGTTTTTTGGATTACCTCCCACTATGGAAGCAAATTTAAAGACTTATCCACATCAATAATATAAGTCGCGTGAACCTATTTTAGATATTGTTTTAAATAGTATATTGCGCCTTAACCTGCAATTCCTTCGGATTTGCAGATGTTCATTGGTACTCACCGTCAGCTGAGCCGCTTATTTACCTTTTATAAATATGTTTTTTCCTTTCTAAAACTGTTTTTAAAAATTTATTTGTAATTAAAAGATTTTTTGCGCGAATGTGCTTTGAACTTGTGGCCTTAGCTTAAGTTGTTGATGTTAACGTATTTTAAATTGTACATCGACTAAAAACTAATGAACAACACTCCTGGCTGAAGTAAATGGAATTATATAATTATTTTATCATACAGGCACTCGATTTCGATTGGAATACTTTTTGAGGTTTAAAATAAATTTTGTATCTGCGAGGACAGAAGCTGTTTTATATTTACTTATCAACTTTAACTACTGTATGTTTGTTTTGCCGCCGATGTAGGCCTATGTTAGACCATTAATTTGTTTTTTGAATTCTACCAGATTGCATTGTTTATTGTTTTATTTATTTATAGGGTACACCAACACATGAAACATTAACAACACAATAACAAATGTATATGGTTAAATATGTTTGCCAATTACAGGTATGCACAACATTTACCGTAATGTGTCTTATTATATTATAATGGTACTGAATACAAAATAACTTATATTAAGAAAAAACTAACTAAAGAATGAGATTTAATAATTTATTTTATATAACTGAATAATTTATTTTAATCACTGTGTCACATAATTATGTACCTAATGTAAATTGCATTGATGACATTAGTTGTAGGTAATGTATAATAAAATAGGAAAAAATATTGTAGTTTTATTTCTCAAGGTTCTATTGTAGTCAATTATCTTTTCATTTCTTGTTTTGTAAAAGTCGACTAAGGGATTGCGCAAACTACCAAACTACGGCGAAAAGAATCGTGAAAATCTGTCGAGTTACTGAAAAAATCGTGCACACACAAACACGGAGGAACAGAGAATCTTCCTTTTTTGAAGTAAGTCGACAATCATGCGTGGTACAATGATGTGGTAGAGCCATGCTTCAGCTATATTATGGTTGTATCATGAATGAGTGCTCGACCGGGGAAGGACCAATCTCTCACTGGATATCAACGTAAAATAGAAGCTTAGTACTGCTTGTTTCTGATTGTGTTTGTAGAGAATCGATTACCCCTTTTAACTAGAAACGAGGCATTCAATATCTTCATCCTCAGGGGTGACAACTAACAACGCATCTGCATTGTGATTCTTAATCCAGGTTAGATGTAGATGTCTAGGGGCTACAGCATTCACTTACCATAAGGTCGACTGTGTGCTCGTTGGTCATCCTCATTCCATAAAAAATTAAGTGATGAGTTACTAGATGTTTATAAAACTGAAGGGACGGACGAGCTCACAGTCCACGTCACGGTAAGTGGCTACTATAGTCCATGAACATTTACATCTACCCTACTAGCTACAGATATTTGGTCACCCCGGATGACTAAGATGGAATGTCTCACAGCCTGTGATCAGACTGGCCATCTATATTCTTCAGAAGGGAGCATTATTGTATTAATTAATACAATAATGTACCAATAGATTATGCGCTCAAGGAAAACATCGCGAGTAAATCTGTGTGTTTTTTCATAGTATAGGGTGACAAACGAGCACACAGTCCACCTGATGGTAAGTGGTTGCTGTGGCCCATAGACATCTATATCTATCCTCGATTACGAATCAAAATGCAGATGCGTTGTCATCCGTGAGGACTAAGATGGAATGCCTCGTTTCCAGTAAAAAAGGTCTCCCGTTTTCTACACTCCCCATATGAAATACAGTAGCATGTAGCTACTATTTTACGCTGGTATTCTGTGAGAGCGTGGTTCTTCCTCAGTCGAGCCGACCCATTCATGCTACAACTATACTACTGATATCACTGCAGCATATGGCTCTACCACGTAAATAATGTCTGAGAAATAATACGTTGCGAGAAGATTTTGTGAAGTTTGACAACGTACTGGTGCAAAGCGACAAACTAATCCCTTTATACCGTTATCGTTATGGCTTATTGAAGTCCATTACTGAAATTGGGCCTCCCCATAGATTGCCTCAAAGGAGGGATATTTGCCATAGTTGCCACGCTTGGCAAGCGGGTTAGCAACCACAGTTTTTTTTATATTTTGGGCATTATTACGTAGTCGCTGCTGCCCATCTAATTTTTTCTCTCTGTCATCTTACAACACCCATGGGACGATATGTGGTAGTGGATATTTTTTACTGTCACTACACGGTTTAATCGAATGACTCAGAAATGAGATGGAGGCTGTGTTCAGTTGGTTGACGTACGTATATATAGGTACAACGTGTAATAAAAGCCCATTGGTTCCCGCTAAGTGTTGTTTTCAGAATCAGTATTCAAACGTATAGAAATAACCAGAAAATTCAGTCATATTTTTTTTTACTTATAACTGTCACACGCATCGGTAAATAGCGCATAATTTAGAGTTCTGACCGCCCTAGGCTAACTACGAATATGCGCCCCCTCGACCTGTCCTGCCTATGCCTGCCCAACCCACGATAGATATACTTACTATAATAGATTTTATTTTAATAGATTTCCACTCCACCGTATCGCCCACATTAAATTAAATTTTCCCCTGAGAACTAGATGTTTTCCCGCGGTAAAAGGTCTTCACTCGGGACGCAGTCAGTCTATCTCATCGCCTAATTAAAATCCGTTCAGCAGGTGTAAAAGGTAACATAGATAGCCAGACAAAGTTCTTTCGTTAACATAATATAGGTAAGTATACAAATGTAGTTTTTTTACATTCTATTAATAGGTCTTACCTATGAAATTCTATGCTATAAATTATTTTTGTTTGGCTAAAAATTCTAATTTCAAATTAATTTTTTTTTAAAAACCGAATTCGTATTTCAAAATTAGTCATTTATTTATTGATTGCAGTTGTGTTTTTAATCTAGTCCAAGATCCCAGGGCCGCCAGGACGTCACGTATTTTCTGACGGATGAAATGTGGACGATTGAGTAGTGTTAGTATGTACTACGATCGTATGCCTACCTGCTAGCTTGGTCAAACGGCCAATTTCCAGGTATCAGGCGATCAAGGTACATAAAAACATTACTTACTTCACGTAAATTCTCATGGCTGATTTTCATATATGTTTCAGAATGTATAGTTAAAAATAAGTTGTCAATACTCCCAGACACTTTCCGTCGGCCATATTGCTTTGCAGACGCTTTAAAGCTCTCAAAATAATTAGTTAACTTTACGTAAATTCTGATGCTCCATTTTTATATATGTTCACCCGACAACTATTTTAAAACCTTTGACAAGAAGACAGACCGATGCAAGGGGCCAATCATCCCCTAAACTAAATTTTAATATCTCTGTGTGTGAGACTGAGTGAGACCGACTGCGCTGTTAAGGCCATGAAAATTTCTTGAGCAGATATTTTATAATTTTTAGAACAATTGTTAACAAATAAATTATAGCAACAAAAAGAAAAAAAAAATAGACAATAAATAATACTAAAGTTGACCGACATTTTTAATTTTTTTCATTTATTGATTAGAACTAAAAATATTTTTTAAATGCCACATAGTTTTTCAAATTTTTTACTAATGAAATTTTTTTTAATACATAAACATAAACACTCACGCCTGTCACCCAGAGGGTTAGGCAGAGACTACAGACTTCCATTTAGCACGATCCTGACATACCTTTCTCGCCTCTTCCACATCCATATACCTACGCATACATGCTCGTCGGTTAAGGGTACTCTTAATTTTGCCCATTTTTAGTTTATCGCTAATTTGGTCAATTAATAATATTTTAAATTAAAAAAATTCTAAAAAATATTTGATGTCGGCTAATTTATTTTCATTTTTTAAAATAATTTTTTGAATTAATATAATTTTTAAATAAAATAAAAAAATTGGTCAGGTGACAGCTAACTTTAAGAGCCCAGTCTTGTAAAAATTAGTGTTCTCGCAAAATTTACAGCAAAACAAATATTTAAAAAAGAAAAACTGAAACATATTTTACATTTATTTAAAGTGCAGGATTTGAAATTTTCGAAACTGTTTTTTAATTTTATTTTGGTGTTTAAATTAATAGCTCTATTAGGCGTTAAACATGCCTATGTTTAGGTTACATGCGCAAAAGGTCTTATTAAAGCCTTCTGCTATGTACAAACTATAAATATATCAAGAAAAGTATTCAGATCACATTTAAATAAATGTAAATACATATTGTCTACAATAATCTAATC